TCCTGTCTGTACTCTTTCAGCAAATTTCTCTTTGTCAACATCACACTTATTAAAGAGTTAGAATATAGGGCAAACAAAAAAGCTAAAGTGACCTTAAAGTTTTCTTCTCTATGGAGGAAAAAGTGCTTTTATTTGTTTTTTCTCTTACTGCCAGGTAGTTTCTGGCTATGAAAAAAGACTGCGTCCTCATCTCCTCAAAGCTTGAGTTAAGGAGGGTAAAAATGACAGTTCAGTTAAGTCTGTGAGAAGTCTAGATACAAGGTTGCCAGAGCTGCTAATCTTTGATTACATTTTGTTCTGTGTTCCTGATGGAGGCTCAGTTCTCACAAGCAAGGCCGATGTTCCGCCCCTGCTCAGTTCTGCCCCGCCCAGCTCTGTTCCTGCTTCGCCCCTGATTTTCCCCTGCCCCGCTTCTGCTCTGCCCCTTTCTCCCTTCTCAGTCTGAGAGAAGTTTGCTTGTCTCTGTGCTGTCTGTGGTGTGGTAACATGTAGGTAGGGTCTCATGTAGCCTCGCTATGTAGCCAAGGATCCCCCTGCCTCCACCTCCCAAGCACAGGACTCACAGATGCACCCACCGTGCCTGCCTCGCAGTCTTGTACTGCTGCTCTCTCCCTCGCGGTGCCGAGCCCGAGTCCCCCTCTGCTTGTGCGTGCCATTAAGGGCTCCCAGTCACTGTCATCTCATTGTCTTCTGAAGCATGATAGGTTAGGGCAGCATCGGGTCGGTGGTTTTGCTCTTCTGTATATAAAAGTTGTGTTTTCTGTCTGTAATTTGAAGCTTACAGTAATAATGTAAAGGAGTAAAAACCTAGGATGTTGTACGTTAAGATGCCTCCCTAATGTACAGAATCTTGTAAAATAAATAATTACATTGTATATCAGTCTTCCCACCAGTCCTAATTATTAAAGTATTTCAGAATATCCAAAAGAAAAAAAGTGGATTTATTACTTTTCCCTTTTTTAGTGCTGGACATTGAGCTCAGGCCTCGTGCATATTAGACAGTCACTCTAAGCCATATCCCTGACCTATGGTTTGAGTTTGTTTTATTCAAGAAGATTAAAACAACTTAAAAGTGATACCCAAAATACTGCTAGTGACTGCAAATAAAAAGAAGGTAAAAAGCCGGGCGGTGGTGGCGCACGCCTTTAATCCCAGCACTTGGGAGGCAGAGGCAGGCGGATTTCTGAGTTCGAGGCCAGCCTGGTCTACAGAGTGAGTTCCAGGACAGCCAGGGCTACACAGAGAAACCCTGTCTCAAAAAAAACAAAAAACAAAACAAAACCAGGAGTTGGAGCTTTCTGTTGGATGTTTCTCTGCTCCCAGATTCCTGTGGCCCACATTATTAGGTCTCCAGTTGTTATTGCAGCCTTGGGGTTAAAATGCCTCTAGAAGGTTGTTCTGAAGGTTCACACTGCCTAGTATTTACTGAACAGTGGATGAAGTTTGGTTCTTTGTGGAGAGAGACTGAGGTCTGGATAACCACGTCAGAAAGGAGAGGGCAGAGACAAGATGGCTCAGTGGGTAAAAGTAGGTGCCACCAAGCCTAAGGGACAGCTAGAGCACAGAAATCTTCATAGAGGTTGGAGAGAACCACCTCCACAAGGCTTTCCTCAGACCTCCACACCCTGTGGCGGGAGCATTTCCACATATACATCATATACACATTCAATAAAATAACAGGCAAGTCTAGTGGGTACCAGATGGACTGTGGGTCATATAAAAGATGAGAATGTACAAGAAAAAAAAAGCTCAGAAGTCACTACTGCTGTTAAGTAGATTTTAAAATGTGAAAATGAAGTCAAAAGTATTTCCTAATACACTTTGCCCCCCCTTTTTTTAAGATCTACTTATTTATATAAGTGCATTGTTGCTGTCTTCATACACACCAGAAGAGGGCATCAGATCCCATTACAGATGGTTGTGAGCCACCATGTGGTTGCTGGGAATTGAACTCAGGACATCTGGAAGAGCAGTCAGTGCTCTTAACCACTGAGCCATCCCCATTCCTTCAGCCCCCCTTTTTATTCTTTTTTTTTTTAACATTCTTTTTTGTTTTGTTTTGTTTTATTTTGTTTTTGGTTTTTTTTTTGTTTTGTTTTTTGTTTTTTCGAGACAGAGTTTCTCTGTGTAGCCCTGGCTGTCCTGGAACTCACTCTGTAGACCAGGCTGGCCTCAAACTCAGAAATCCACCTGCCTCTGCCTCCCAAGTGCTGGGATTAAAGGCGTTCGCCACCACTGCCTGGCCCCCTCTTTTCATTCTTAACATATGTGCGGACCATATAGAAGTAAATAGTTAAAACTTCTGGTGTTTTAATGTAATTCAAGAGTGAATGAATGGGCCATCACCAGATTGAACTGTGGTCAAGGTTCCATTCATTTCCATCCCTGGAAAGTAAAAAAGGAAAGCAAGCGTAGGTCAGTAGGTCAGTGGGTCAGTGGGCCACCTTTGCCTTGCAACTTGTTGCTTTCATACTGACATTCATTTCTCCCAAGAACTTTGTTTCCCTCTCTCTGCCTCTCTGGACACTCTTCCTCTTTATTTAATCATTATCTCTATTTATTCCCCCCCCCCCCCAATATCTATTTTTTTTTTTTTTTGACAGGGTTTCTCTGTGTAGCCCTGGCTGTCCTGGAACTCACTCTGTAGACCAGGCTGGCCTCGAACTCAGAAATCTGCCTGCCTCTGCCTCCCCAAGTGCTGGGATTAAAGGTGTGCGCCACCACCGCCTGGCTTTTTCTTTTCAATATCCTATTTTCACTGTTTTTTAGTAAGGGTAGATGCAGCCCAGGTTTGTAAATTCTCTCTCTATAGCCAAGGCCGGCCTTGAACTCCAGATCCTCCTTCCAGACCCCAAAATGAGACTCTGTCTCTAACAAATGAACAACAAAAACAGCCCTCAACACAAGGACCTGCTGATGGAGTTCAGTCTCTAGAACAGGAGAGAACTGACTACAGGGTATCCTCCGGCCTCCACAGGAGCTCCAGGGTGTGTGTACATGTCCTCTACCATCACACACAATAAGAATCCTTAAAGGAGAGAGTTCATTTCAGTTCTGTCAGTTGGTTTTAGCATGTGAAGGGAATCCAGTCTCCAATAGAAACATAGTTAGAAAAATCTAGGAGCCTGGCAGTGGTGGCGCACACCTTTAATCCCAGCACTTGGGAGGCAGAGCCAGGTGGATTTCTGAGTTTGAGGCCAGCCTGGTTGGTCTACAGAGTGAGTTCCAGGACAGCCAGGGCTATGCAGAGAAACCCTGTCTCGAAAAAAACTTTAAAAAAAAAAAAAAAAAACAAAGAAAGAAAGAAAGAAAAAGAAAATATCTAGGATAGCCAGAGCTACACAGAGAAACCCCATAATGAGAAACAATTAATCAAACAAACAGCAAACTAGAAGACATTATAAAAAGAATTTTTCCAGATAGTAGTGCTGCACCCCTTTAATCTCAGTTCTTGGGGAAGCAAACGCAGGCAGATCTCTGTGACTCTGGGGCCAGTCTGGTCTACATAGCGATTTCCAGGACACCCAGGGCTACACAGAGAAAAATTTGTCTCCAAAACAGAAATAAATAAACAAACAAACAAATAAGTAAATAAAACATACATACATACATACATACATACATACATACATACATACCAGCCATTTAAAAAAAAAAAGACAGGGTCGCCGGGCAGTGGTGGCGCATGCCTTTAATCCCAGCATTTGGGAGGCAGAGGCAGGCGGATTTCTGAGTTCGAGGCCAGCCTGGTCTACAGAGTGAGTTCCAGGACAGCCAGGGTCACGCAGAGAAACCCTGTCTCGAAAAAACCAAAAAAAAAAAAAAAAAAACAACAAAGAAAGAAAGAAAAAAGAAAGAAAGAAAATAAAAAAAAAAAAAAAACCAAAAAATTAAATTAAATTAAAAGAGAGGGTCTCTATATAGCCTTAGCTGTCCTAGAACTCACTATGTCGATATGTCGAAAAGGCTGGCTTCCAGTTGATAGAGATCTTCCTGACTCTGCCTTCAAAGTGCTTATATTAAAAACCTGCACCATCGTGCGCAGCCAGCCATTCTTTCAAGTAAATAAATCTTCTACAACAAAATTCATCGGGCATAATTTCACATCTTAAAATCTGGGAAATAGCATTAGTGTAATGGTAAATACTGTATGTAAAGCACTCAACACACAGTTTGATATATAAGAGGACCATGGTCAGGGTTTCTACCCAGGCTAGCCTTGCTCTAACGACACTATTTACTCTCCTGATGTATTATTGTTTGTGTATGTATGATGGTGGAGGGCATTGTACACACAACAGCATTTCCTGGGTTTTGTATGCAGCCCTGGGGTTCAGGAACCTGCACACACAGTGATAAATATCTTGAGTGTCACCATATTTTATCATCAACATCTATATTAGTTTTATATGTTTGTGTGGAAAATGACAAAACACTAATCAGCTTTTTAAACGGGTGTGGATCAGAACCTCTTATCCTAGGCAGGTGTTCTCCCGTAGAGAATGCATAAAAGCTTGATGTTCTTGGGTTTGGGTTTTTGTTTTGGTTTTTGTTTTGTGTGTGTTTTGATGTGCTTACTTTTATTTGTGCACCATGTGTGTCTGCGGATCTACTGAAACTGGAATAACTGACAACTCAGTTGTGAGTGGCACACTGTGAGCTGCCATATAGGTACTCTGGGAGAGCAACCAGGAATCTTAACCACTAAGCCATCTCTCCAACCCCCTCCATGGGAAGTTTTTAATTGTAGCCAATTTCTTCCAGATGTACCTATGTTCTGTATCAAATGTTCCTTCCACATACAAAGTAGATTCAAACTCTGGAAGCTAGAAAGCATTTCTCTAGATTTTTTTTTTTTCATTTTGCATATACCAGTGTATCCAGGCAGAGAAGACAAACCTCGCAAGCTCATCGATTCTACGCCAAGACTGACAAGAACTAAGTAGCGCAAAAGTTCTCCAATCCCAATTGACGAGAAGCTCGACCGTAAGTAGATCCCATCAGCCTTAGCGCCTTTCCAATGGTTCAAAGTGCGCGTGACCGTGCGCAGGCGCAGTCGGCCGCATCTGACTTCCGGGAGTTACTTAAGGTATAAATATGGCCGCGTAGGCTCGCCTCAGTCTTTTTAGGCGTTGCTCTTTAGCCGTGCGTTTTCTTGGTGAGTACCGTATGCTGCTGTGTGCTGCTGGGGCTTTACCCTCGCTGTTCGGCACCAGGCCGGAGGGGAAGGATCGCGGCTGGGCAGACCCGGCGTGGGAGGCCGGGCTCACCGGCCTAGCATGGCGTGTGGACACGTGCCTCTCAGCCCAGTAACCGCCTTTCTTTCGGGGATCCCAATGCTAGCGGGATTATTGCCCGGTAGACTCTACGCATTTTTCTTTAAGGTTCACTCTGCTTAAGAGGACAGACTCCTGCGGTGTGATTTGGAGAGTTAGCCATCTTCGAGCGCTCGATTTTAAATTAAGATCATTGCGCTTGGTTCCCAGCTTTTGTTTTACTACACCCTGTTATAACTGAATTTCTGCAACCTTTTGTTCATTAATCTGCCATCATTCAGAGAGTCATTTCTCATAGGTAATGTCTGGATAGTTTCGTTCGGATGGGGGTGTTGTGTTCTGTTTGCTTCAAGGAGGTCTGAAGGTGGCGGTGGTTGCTGAGGCCTGTAGAAACTCTAGAAACAGGCGTTTTTCAGGCTGGAGATCTAGCAAAGGATCCTACGACATTTTGTCATTTTGTCAAAAGTCTTTACGATGACCACTCAACGTGGACACCCCGGGAGGTCACTCTCCCCGGGCTCTGTCCTAGTGGCGTGTGGGAGCATAGGGCACGGCCCGGAGATGTACAGTCCCTTTCCACAACGTTGGAGATGAAGCTGGGCTTCTGAGTCTGCGCCTGCATATTCCTACAACTTCTCAGAGTCCTGTGGACGATGACTGGGGAGACAAACCATGCAGGAAACAGCCTTAAATCAGTCTGGGGGGTGTGTCCGAGGAGTACTTTAAGCATTTCATTTGCTGATGGGATGTCTTCTTTTGCAGAGCTGATGAGTAATTCCAAGTAACTCGTTGATTTGAGGTACGTTAAATCGGAAACTGGCTTTGTACTTAACATGTGTTCTTTTTATGTCTCTAAGTGGAGACACCAGTGGGGTGTGTAGTCCGGTAGTGGTTGAGTCCTGTGGGTACTGACCAGACTTTCCAACGTGGACACCCCGGGAGGTCACTCTCCCCGGGCTCTGTCCTAGTGGCGTGTGGGAGCATAGGGCACGGCCCGGAGATGTACAGTCCCTTTCCACAACGTTGGAGAAGAAGCTGGGCTCCGAGTCTGCGCCTGCATATTCCTACGACTTCTCAGAGTCCTATGGACGATGACTGAGGAGACAAACCATGCAGGAAACAAAAATTTAAGATGCTAAGGCTTTTAGTATGCCACTTTCAGGAATCTGATGTTTATGGGATTTTTCTTTTCAGGAAAGAAGAGGATCTTCACAGGGATCTGCTTGATAAATGGCTTTGAGGCATTTTAGCTATATACAGCTTGGTAAAATTTTGTCTGTATTAGTGCATCAGCCATTGGAAGCTGGACAAGCTTTTCTGCCTACTTACTCTGTCTGGTAAATGCAATTTTTTTTGACAGGTTATGTCTAGATTTCAGAAACCTCATGTTTCTCCTTTTTGATATCCAACAAGATTCCCTTGGGCCATATTATATAAACCATGTATCATTTTTTTGTTCTCACATTTTCTGTAAGATTATATAGCCTTAAGTTCAAATCCAGACTGGGTTATATGATGTGGTTGTAATCTGAGTATTTGTGATATAACTGGCAAATCTGAATTAAAGCTTTTGAATGCCTATTCTTGTGATTTAATGTGTATGCATGCAAAAGGCCGCAGATGTGTTCAGAATAAACCCTGAGTGAAGGTTTGATCTGTCCAAATAGTGAGATTGAGTTCCATTCTCTGCTCAGGTGATAGTGTTACAACAGTGTTAAAACAGGGAGGTTGGTCAAATGGATGGGTTATGTGGGGAGTTAGTCCAAGGCATTTCAATTGGACAGGCCTAACACTGGTACCCTTATGATATGGGGTAGACAGGTCCCTAGATCATAATGGGAATTTGACTCCTTACTGCTTGCCCTCATGGAAAAGTCTGAGACCCTCAGTGATGGGGGCATTGGGGAGGCACCTCGGAGGTAAGGGCTTAAATATGTCGTTCTGTGTTCTTGAAAAATAGGTGTGAGAATTGGTGGGCCTCTAACTAGAGTGGGGGAGTGTTGTGGCCGGTTCCGACGGGAATGTTCACACTCCAGTGCATGGTAGTCAGGTAACAATGAGCTTCTGGGTAGAAGACCTGTGCTTTCAGCCATTTTGCCTGCCCTTAAGTTTCTTGAATCTGGATAGGAATATGTACCTAGGCTTCCAGGTAGAACAGAGATTTCTCCCATTAAAGACTGAATCTTGGGTTTCTGCACTTGTAATGAGCTTCCTGGGTTTAAATTCTGGTGACTGTAGCACAACTCTGCTTTGAGGTGTTCTTTCTGCCCATATGCAAGTACCCTTGATTCCACAACTTTAGTAGTTTTAGTCAAAAATTGAGGGTTTTGGTCATCAATTGTCATCAGTTGTCTTGGTGACCTTCAGATGCCTTACCCATGTAGACTATGCTTACGATCTACCGTCTAATAAATATACAGGGGTGAATATAGCTTAGTGTTTGTCTAGTGTACTTCATGCCCTAAATTAACAGGAAAGATAAAAACTGGTCCTGTTTAGTTCTCTGAAGGCAGAGGCAATACCTGTCAGATTCAATCAAATCTAGGGCTACACAGTGAGACTTTCTCCAAATCTGGGGAATCTTAACCAGGAGTGGCTCACACATCTAACTAGAGTAGGAGGGGTGTAGCAGAGTGCCTGCTGCTTGAACCAAGGGGACTTGGGTTCAACTCTTTCCAACCACATGGTGACCACATGATGAGATCTGACGGCCTCTTCCGGCATGTCCCACAAACTCACACAGAACAGCTTCTAGACCAGGCTGGCTTCAAACTCCATTACCCTCTGCCTCCTGAGTGCTGAGATTAAAGGTGTGACACTACCCAGTCATAAACAAGGTTTTATAAGATTAGTAATGGGGTTGGAGATGGTTCAGTGGTTAGAGCAGCTGGTACAACACCCATGTAACTACAGAGACAGTATGTACACTCAGATACAAGTATTTAAACAAATGACTAGGGATTAGCTTAAAGGTAGGACACTTGACTGTCAAGTGAGAAGCCCTGAGTTCAAGTCCCAACATTGAAATTAAGTTGATAGCTCAATCCTAAACAGAAATAAGGTCCCAACCCCTCTGTGATGACTGATAACTTGCTGGAACCTCCTTTTAGTCTTTGTTTTGTTTTGGTTTTGTTTGTTTGTTTTTGAGACAGGGTTTCCTGCGTGACCCTAGCTGTCCTGGAACTCACTCTGTAGAGCAGGCTGGCCTCAAACTCAGAAATCCGCCTGCTTCTGCCTCCCAAGTGCTGGGACTAAAGGCGTGTGCCACCACTGCCCAGCCCTTTTAGTCTTTCAACACAGGGTTTCTTTGTGTAGCCTTAGCTATCCTGGAATTTCTTCTGTACACCAAGCTGGCCTAGAACTCAGATTTGCCCTCCTGCCTCCTTAATTCTGGGATTAAGGTCCTGCACTACTATTTCTGGGCTGATGCCCTCTTTTTCTCAAGATGTATTCATTATTTTTTTAAAGGCTTTTTAAATGTATAATTTGTGCATCAGTATTTTGCCTGTATACCTATGAAAGTGTCAGATCCCCTGGAACTAGTGTCACAGATACTTGTGAGTGGTGCCATGTGGGTGGTGCTGGAAATTGAACCTGGGTTCCCTGGGAGAGAGCAGTCAATGCTCTCAATGCTGAGGCATATCTCCAGCCCCTTACTAATGTGTATGATTCCAGCATGTGTTTTTGTGTACCGTATGCATGGAGATCAGAAGAGGGTATGGAATCCCCTGAAAATGGACTTAGATGGTTATGAGCCACCATGTAGGTGCTGGCAATCCAACCAAGGTTCTCTGGAAGAACAATATTATTACTTTTATCTATTACTGGATTGGGTTGGGGGGGGGGCTTGTTTTGTTTTGAGACAAGTTTTCTCCATGTAACCTTACCTGTTATGGAACTCCTGTTACATGCCTCCTGAGTGCTCAGACTAAAGGCATATGCCACCTCTTCAGAGCCACAGTGTTAACCTTGTTTTCTACCTCAGGGTTCCATGAAAAAGCAAATGGAATGCACACAGGTAGATTTTTATATCTAAATGGAGTGAGAAATGATGATTAAGAGTTATACTGCTGCCGGGCGGTGGCGGCGCACGCCTTCAGTGCCAGCACTTGGGAGGCAGAGGCAGGCGGATTTCTGAGTTCGAGGCCAGCCTGGTTTACAGAGTGAGTTCCAGGACAGCGAGGGCTGCACAGAGAAACCCTGTCTCGAAAAACAAAAACAAAACAAAAAATTTAGAAAAAAACTATATAAATGGACTTTAAAAGTGAATGAGTCTGAGGGACAGAGACTTGGCACCACACCAATCCTAGCAGAAACAAGTCGGATTTGGAGTTTGAAGATAGCCTGGGCTTTCTTCAAAGACATGAGGCTTTCCCAAAACAATAAAAAAAAAAAAAGATGTTTTTATAAGGGGAGATCAGTGATGGCCATTTTTCTGTAATTACATTAAGCCATATGAGTGAATCAGATCTTGGAGAAAGACATCAGAGTTTCCAGGGTGAAGCTTGGAGAAACTTCACACTTTACCACCCAGGAGAGGAGGTCATGATGGAGGCAGAAGTGAACCTGAAAAGGTAAGGCAACATCGGGATTGCTTTGGAGCTGGCACTACATAGGGGAAATGCATCTGGCACACAGTCGTCCAGAGGATGTTAGTGAGAAGACTTTTTTTCAATTTGCTTTTTAGTATAGAAGTGTGCTGTCTGCATGTACACTTTCAGGCCAAAAGAGGGCATCAGATCCTTTTATAAATTGTCATGAGCCACCATGTGGTTGCTGGGATTTGAACTCAGGACCCCTGCAAGGGCAGCCAAGTGTTCTTAACCACTGAGCCATCTCTCCATCCCTAAGCCATTTTTCACAGTGTTCTGTTTCCAATGTAAGCTTCCAACTCCAAGAGTTCCAGCTCTGAGACATCTTGCGTTCCCAGCCTTATCTCCTCACTTCTTCCCTTTACTGTCTTGTAGTTGAGCCTTGCACCTCACACTCGCAAAGCACTCTGCCGCTGAGCTACATCAGTGCTCCTCTTCTCTCCCCAGTTTGTTTTCTTTCTGAGATAGAATCTATGTATCCTGCCTCAGCTTCTGGAACGATGGGGTTATAGGCAGTGCCACCAACCCGGGCATTACCTTTCCCTCTTCCTGCTTGCTCTTTGCCCTCCATTCTTGGTTACACTTTACCCAAAGTCCATTCTTAAAGCTCTGCACATATCATCCTGTGAGCAGAACCTTCCCATAATCACACACTGTCCCCGTAGGCACACTAGACCTTCACCATCTGCTCTCAGACTATACGGCAGTTTCACACATTTTACTCTCTGTCATTGCAAATGTCACCCCTCTGGGACTGGAGAGATGACTCAGTGGTTAAGGGTGCCTGTTGCTCTTGCAGAAAATTCCATTCCAGCACCTACATGGCAAGTCACATCCACCTGTAACTCCACTTCTAATGCAACCAATGCTCTTTCTGGTCTTTACAGACACTGTACATGGTACACAGACATACCTGCAGGAAAAACACTCCTACATGTAATAAGGAAATGTTATTCATCCTGAATGCCTTTTCCACTTTTTTTTTTTTTGTCCTGGAACTCACTCTGTAGACCAGGCTGGCCTCGAACTCAGAAATCCGTCTGCCTCTGCCTCCCAAGTGCTGGGATCAAAGGCGTGCGCCACCACTGCCCGGTTTCACTTAGACTTAATTAGCTGTTCTTGAGCCCTAACTAGACTGAATCAGGTAGCTTTGTACAGTTAATAGTTGTTTTTTTGTTTGGTTTTCTGTTTGTTTGTTTTTAGCGTTCTGCTAGATACTTTTCGAACAAGAACCACCAGCTTTGGTTTGTTTCGTACAGATCTCATGCACCAGATTTTCCTAAAAAAACAAAAACAAACAAACAAACAAAAACCCCTAGGATTCTAGTAGTTTCTCTAGTTGGTTATCTGTCCACTTATCCCTCTTGGGGAGAATTGGGGGGAGGTCTCCCAAATACAGACTGCTGCGTGCAAACTAGGAGCAGACGCCCGCGTTACCCGCGGTGGCCGCCAGGGGCCGCCCGGCTCTGTGTTTTCCCTTCTGGCCAGGGTCGCGGCCGGAGGCCCGCAGAGCGCATGCTCCGGGCAGTTCGCCGCCGGCCGCCGAGCGCCGGAGTTGCTTGTGGCCTCCCTGCACCGAGGTAGGTCGCGCTCTGGTTCTTGGAGAGTCCTGAGGACGGGAAACCGGGAGCCGCGCGGGGTCGTGGTGGGCCGAGATCGCAGCCCACATGGCGGGCTGCACGTGAAGACGGCCGCGCTCCAGGCGCGCGAGCTCCGGCCGGCGTGGGCCCCGCCTCGCCCGCGCACGGGCCCCTCAGCCGGCGCGCTCCGGGCGCGCGCTCCGCTCTGCGGCGGGAGATTCAAACGGCTGGTGCGCGAGGCCCGGGCGCGCGCGGCCGCGGGGAGCCGCCAGTGGGGAGGGGCGGCAGCTTCCACAGACGGTCGCCTGCCCTTAACCCCCATCAACCCTGTGTCACCCGGTCGTTGCTGCCTGACGTTTCCGTGCCGCTGGGGAACAATGGTGACAAAGGCCGGCCTCCGTGCCCTTTGCAGGGCGCAGGGGCTCCCTGGCGAGACTTCCATGGGTCCACAGTTAGGGTCTCCTGAGATCAGCAAAGTATGTCCGTGGAACTTGAGCGTCGCTGCTGCCAAGTCTTTGGTTCATCAGAAATTAAGTCTTCTGACCACGTGTGCACTCGCTGAGGGTATGAAACAGACCGGGAACTCCATAGCGGAAGCCGTAACCGGGCTGTGGAGGGTTGGGGATAGCTTTCCAGGTGAGGTTGTAATATGTTTTGGGTAACAGGGTCAAGGTAATCCACACACGGGGCACAGGAAATGCAACCGCTAGAAGTGTTTGGGGTCATAGACATCATTGGTGCTTGTGGGGAGGATACAGAGACGCCTGCTTCACCCAAGAAGAGCTCTAATGGAGCTCAGGAAAGATGAGTTGGAAGTGATTCACCAGGTTCCGGTTGCAAAGACAACTGAGAACAGGAGTCTGGATCGGGCAGGTCCCACTAGCTTCTCTTAAACCTTAGTCTCCTTGCCTATAAAAGGAAGGTAATGTGTCCTATCATCTGTGCAAAGCTGGTGACTCTAACATTTGCTAGAAGCTATTGCCCCTCTCCCTAGGAAAAAAAATTGACACCAGACAACCGAAGACTGTACCACATCCTTTTGGACCTGGGTGAAGGACTTCCTGGTATGAAGTGTGCATGCTCAGTTCCTGGCAGCACACAGCTGCAGCCTGCACAGGCCTTCCCTTCTCTCCTGGGAGCCTTTCCCACAAAGATATTCTTCATCCCCTAAATCTAGCTGGGAAGTTCTGAGTGTCGGGGGAAGGGAGGGACCACCGCTGGGGTTGCCACGACCTCCAGAAATGGAAGTGACTGGAAAAACGGCTCCTGGTAGGTTGTCTAACTTACCCATTTGACTTAGCAGGTGAGGAAACAGGCTTCAGGCAGCTCAGGACCTGGTGGGGGGAGGGGTGTCATCGCACCCATGAATGGTCTGCACATCTATTCCTGACATGAGGACAGGTCTGAAATGCTTATTAATGGAAGTTGACTCCTTCCTTGATTTTATTCTGAGTCTTGCTTGTTCTCCCAGTTTTTAAATTCCTTAAAGATGGATCCCGGGTAGTGGAAGTGGGGGTGTAAGTACAGTGACAGAAGGCAAGGCTTTTCACGGTTGTATAGATGTATGTTCAAATGCTTTGGTATGTCATGGTACCACATGCATTGGCCCAAGGAGGTCAGAAGAAGGCATTGAATCCCCTGGGACTGGAGTTACAGGTAGTTGTGAGCAGCCTGTGGGTGCTGGGAACCAACTCTCCAGCCCTGGCTCATAATCCTTGAAGCAGGGGATGTCTCACTATGTAGACTTTTGTTGGCTGGCCTTGAGTTGTGGCGATCCCAAATCCTGTCTGCGCCACTGGGCCCACCTTTTAGAAGGTGCTGTCCTCCCCCACCTTGCTTCTGGGTTTGTGCAGCAACTAGTGTTGGCCAGGTACAGAGGAATATGTGGCTCAACGACAATTGGGGTATCTCAGGATCTCTCCCCTTGGGGGGGGGTGCTGTTGAATCTGTCAGCGGTCTCCCCAGGCAAGTCCTAGTTGCCATCTTCCCCCTCTGTTGACTTTTGCTTTCTGCTCCTTGAACTTGGGCAAACCCATCAGGAATCTCAAGGGACTTGTTCAAGCCATCTTAAATTCCAACCTGGGTTATAGTGTTATAGTGTATCTTTTTTTTTTTTTTTAAGATTTAGTTATGTATATGAGTACACTGTAGCTGTCTTCAGACACACCAGAAGAAGGCATCAGATCCCATTACAGATGGTTGTGAGCCACCATGTGGTTGCTGGGAATTGAACTCAGGACCTCTGGAAGAGCAGCCAGTGCTCTTAACCACTGGGCCCTCTCTCCAGCCCTGGTTATAGTGTATCTTTAGGAGACACTTTGGGGTGGCAACGGTGAGACAGGGTCTTGCTATGTGGTCTGGGTCAGTTTTGGTCAGCTTCCAACGTTCTGGGATTCCAGGTGTGTACCACCATAAATGGCATACTTTGTCCCCTTTAAAAAAAAGTACTTGGGCCCTTTTCCTGCTTGTCCTTTGGTGTGTGAACAAGAGCAGGTTAATTTACCTTTCTGAGTGTTAAGTTCTTCAACCATGAAATAGGAGTGACCATGTCTTCAGTTTTCTGGACTGGGTGGGTCTGTTGTGTGTGGTATACACATGTTGTTCATCTGAACATGAATAAGGGGCTGCATGTGCACTTGGAGGTTAGAGGTTTAGCAAAAGCTGTCTTCATTGATTTTGCTCTGCCTTCTTGAGACAGGGCTTCTCACTGAACCTGGAGTTCTGCCATTAGGGCACACTGGCTAGCCAGCGAGCTTCAGAGATCTGTGTAGCCTAGGCTGTCCTTAAATTGGCTATGTGGCTAACTAAGAATGACTTGAACCTCACAAATGCTAAGAGTCCCACCTTAGCTCCTCCTACAGTGTGCATCAAAGATTCAGGAGGAACATTTTCTAGTTTCTGTGGGAAGGAAGGATGGGTTGGGAGAAGGGGAACAAGATGTGACTTTTGTAATAAGCTTACTTCCTGAACATAAGCTCCTGAGTACAGGAAGCAGTGTAGCCTCCTCTGTCTTTCCCATGCATCTCAGCCCAACCCCAGGCACTCCAGAATATTTGTGAGATGGGTATACACATACATAACTGAGTACCTAGGGGCATGCTGTCCAGGCTTCTACCCACCCTGAGAGGTTGTCATCTCCTGTGTAACAGATTGTTAAAGGTTGAGGAAACTAGAGTCCTGGAAGGTGAATTGAATTCCAGTGATCCCAAAAAGCAATCATGTTCAGTGTGGAAAGAGAGGTCTCAAAGCAGCACAGAGGAGGGGGAGGTTCCCACTGCAGGAAGAGTGGAAGCTGGTCAGAGTTCACAATGGCCGCCTCATGACTGAACTGGGCCAGACACAACCCACACAGGCTCTGTAGGATCCTGGGTCTGTTTAAAATGCATTGGTCTCCTCCCTCTGAGTCAGAAGTCCATACCTTCTGAGTTGACAACTGGGAAGCCTGAGGCTTTTGGACCTCATAGGAGGCAGGGGGTGGTCCTGACCAGATCCCTAAGGGACACTGAGAAGGGCCTTTGCTGGTCTCTTGTTGCTTTGAGCAGAGTTTTCATTCCTGTCAGGAGAAGGACCAGTGAGATCCCAATAGATTTGTGTCTCAGTGTTCCTGGGGAAGACCCTAAACACCACACTATACACTATGACCAACATTAATTTCTTAAGCGAGCATTTACTGTAGGACCATTTTTGTTTATTGAGGTTTTTTGTTTTTGAGGCTGGGCCTCTCTGTAGTCCTGCCTGCCCCAGAACTCAGTATGTAGACTGGACTGGCTAGTTTGCTGGGATTAAAGGTGTGTGTCACCACTCTCAGCTTGATTTTATTTATTTTTATTTTGGTTATGGTTTTTTGAGACAGGGTTTCTCTATGTAGCCTTAGCTGTCTTGGAACTCATTCTGTAGACCAAATCTGCCTGTCTCTCCCTCCTGAGTGCTGAGACTAAAGGTGGACACCCAACCCAGCTTTATTTTAATTAAAACTTTTTTTTTTCCTGTTATGGGATGAAACCCAGAGCCTCAGATAAGCTAGCTAAGTGCTCTGCCCATGAGCCACACCCCAGCATATTGTACTAGCTCATTTAACCCTGTGTGTCAGCTACTTGTGGAAGCACATGCCAGCAAATTCAGCTTAGGAGGTGCAGGCAGGAAGATAAAGCTGCTGTGAACCCTGTTTCAAAATAATAGTGTTAATAAGCTAGAATGGGTTGCAGCAGCGTTTAGAGTGCTTGGTTTGGTTTTGAGCGTTTTGATTTTGTGTTGTATGGTTTATTGTTTTGCTTTGTTTTGAGACAGGGTCTCCCTGTGTAGTCCAAGCTAGCCTGAAGTTTACTATGTAGACCAGAGATCCTCCTATGTCTGCCTCCTAAGTAAGTGTTGGGATTAAAGGCCTGTACTATTTGTTTTGGTTGTTTGTGTGTGTTTAAGACTTGCTAGCCTTGGAAGTCAGGGTACTGCAGTGCTGGGGTCTTGAGTAGGTGACACACCTGGCTCCTGGCTCTTTTCCTTTGTCACAAGAAACATCTTTCCGTTCAATAGATTTATTTCTAGAAATATCATTTTTGATGGATTCCTACAGTTCTCTCATGGGTAGTTCCATGTGCAGCCAGTCCACTAGTACTGAACTCTCCTCAAGTGCACCTTCCTAGTGCTGAGTGAGATCACAAGCATGTGCCACCAAGCTGTTTGTGAAATGCTGGAAAGAGAATAAGGATTGGACCTGGGGGCTCAGGCAGAGTCTCCCGGGGCTGCTGAGCTACATTCCAGACCTTTAGCCCACTACTTAATCATGTCTCCACACAGTGTAGCAACAATAGAGAAGAGTTGTGAACGTGGTCATTATCACCTGTCACACAGTTCTGGGATAAATGTCGGAGCTGTGACTGCTGTGACTCTTACTCTTCAGACTTTGATGAATATGCACAGGACAATGTTTGTTATTCTGACATGTAGTATTTGGCTGTTTTTTTTTTTTTTTCCAGGACAAGAAGATGCCACCCAAGCGCATAGCTAAGAGAAGGTCGCCCCCAGAAGATGCCATCCCCAAAAGCAAGAAGGTGAAAGGTAAGCTGGCTGTGATGCCTTCTTGGCTCTGAGTGTTCTCTCAAAGCAGTGAGACATCTGGGCCTACGCTCCTTCCTCCCTGGCTTGAAGCTCTGAGGGGCTTATATGCCCAAGGACCCTGCTCAGCTGGAGGTTCTCTTGCATCTCACCTAGCTCAGCTCTTTAGCGGTCAGAAAAGAGGCCCAAGCCAAGACTCATCAGAGAGCCCTCAAAGTAATGCTGGTGCCCTCCCACCCCAACCCAGATCCGAGGACTTGGCCCCACGCACATGCATGGTTTCGCCTGTCTTAAAGTACTTTGGGCTCCTCCCCCAGTAATCGGAAAAGTCCTTGGCCTTAGGTCCCCTTGCTCTGAATTGACAGCTTGGAAGCCCGAGGCTCTTGGACCTTCTGGGCTTTCAGATGTGGGTTAGGTCCTGACTGTCACTGTAACCACAGGCAGGTCACTTCATCCGGCTGAGGCTGAGCCTCCCTTGATAGAATGGAGACAAGAGCTCTGTCATCCTGAGTTGTTGAGAGTTAGAGGAGATAATGTCCCAGCCTTGTTTGAGGGACCTGTCCTGTCATTTTTCTCTCCTACAACCCCAGAGTGTGGCGAGGACCAGGGAAATCGACCTCTAACATGGGAGGGAGGAGCGTGGACGCACGCTCAGACAGTGTCTGTCTTTTGCAGACACTCGTAACCGCGGTCCTGCTACTCGCTCCTGCCAAGGTGCCTGTGGGCCAAGCCCAACTGACTAGAAAACCCAACCAGATGGCTCCCTGCCCAGTGCAGCCTCTGTGCAGCCGCAGTGGTCCTGGCAGCTGGGGCCACACCCTTGGGGGGACTGGATGCCTTTGACTGGAGGGCTGTGGCAGGCTTTGATTGGTTACCAGAAGGCCTTGCACTACCCACTGGTTGGCCTACACCTCTGCAAATACATCTGAGGGTTCTTACTGTGCCTTCCAGTTCCTCTGAAGCTGGCAGTGTGCTGTCTGTACTGACTGAAGGGGCAGTTTGTTTTCCTCCCATGTTCAGGAGTTGGAAATCACAGCCTGGGGGAAGAGGGACATTCAGATGGGAGGCGATACCAGGTAGCTGCCCTAAGCTCCAGTGCAAACTCTGGTAATTAGTTTTATAACCTGGGAAGGCTGTTGACCCTCTGGGAGGCTCTGTTCTGTATCCTATAAAATGGTGTCTTCTATTTTTGATGTTTGTTTGAGATAGGATGGCTCTGGCTTCCCAGAACTCAAGAGAGACCTGCCTGCTTCTGCCTCCAAGGGCTGGAATTAAAGGCCAGCAACAGGCTCTTCTAAATAAGGGAGGTCTCCAGAGCCAGTTAGTGTTGGTAGAGTAACTGGTTAGTAAAGGTTGGCAGTATGGATCATGTCTGTGACATAGGCTCACTTGGAAATTGTCTCCTCACTGTCCTGGTGCCCTGCCTATCAAGATCCATTTCACTGTGTGGAGTGACTCCTTCTCTCTCTTCCTTTCTTGTGTCAATAGCATGCATGGGTTTTAATCCTCACAAAAAAAAACCAAACCAAACCAAACAAACAAAAAAAAACCCAGGAGACAGATACCCTTGTCATCCTCTGCTCACAAAGGTGGAAAGTCGACGGGCGGTGGTGGCGCACGCCTTTAATCCCAGCACTTGGGAGGCAGAGGCAGGCGGATTTCTGAGTTCGAGGCCAGCCTGGTCTACACAGTGAGTTCAGGACAGCCAGGACTATACAGAGAAACCCTGTCTGAAAACCAAAAAAACCAAAAAAAAAAACAAAAAACAAAAAAAACAAAGGTGGAAACTCAGGTCCACAAAGATCTTACTTATGGCCTATTGGCAGAGCAAGGGCTTGAAACCCTGACTATCACAATCCCAGAGCCTATGATATGATCTCTGCTGTCTGCCCTCATCCTACACACTCAGGGGCTATCTTCTCCACCTTTTAGTCTCACACAGGTCCCACAACACAGAACCAGGCTTGGTGCTGACACTGGGCCAGGGCGACGTGGGCCAGCTGGGGCTGGGTGAGAGTGTGCTGGAAAGGAAGAAGCCGGCCTTGGTACCTCTTCTACAGGATGTTGTGCAGGCTGAGGCTGGGGGCATGCATACTGTATGTCTGAGCCAAAGTGGCCAGGTAGGTCAGAGGGTTGGGACGGGTTGGATGGGGCCTGGGTGCAAGGGCATGGAACAGGATCTGGCTACATACAGAAGCAGGGGGTGGCCCAAGCACAAGGCCCCAGGCCGGACTTTGTATTGATGGGACATCCTGGGCACAGGCTGGATATTGATGGGACACCCTGGGCACAGGTCTACTCCTTCGGCTGCAATGACGAAGGTGCCCTGGGAAGGGACACTTCAGTCGAGGGCTCAGAGATGGTTCCTGGGAAAGTGGAACTGCAAGAGAAAGTGGTGCAAGTGTCAGCGGGGGACAGTCACACAGCAGCCCTCACCGAAGATGGCCGTGTCTTCCTCTGGGGCTCTTTCCGGGTAAGACTGGGGCTGGCAGGTAGAATTCACTCGTGATCCCCAAATGATCCCACTTTCCTGTCTCATTTTGCTTGCAGACTGGGGGGAAGTAAAGGCCACATTCGTCGGTAGGCCCAGATTTCAATCCCTGGCGTCTTCATATGGGCCTGTCCACTCCATGGCCTATTTGGTTGAGTGTGATGAAGTGTATGTCTTTGGCAAGGGGTGGGTCAAGGTTGCCTCTAGGCTGAGCTGGCCCTGGGAGATGCTGTGTCTCATGACCTGCCTCATTCTCTTTTGTATCCCCTTTCTGGAGTCTTGGAGAGAAAGGTCTATGGTTTTGGTCTTCCTAAAGTAGGGGAGTGTAATCTTTGTTTTGTTTGTACATTTTTTTCTCCTAAGATGAGGTCTCATGGGTTTCAGGTTAGCTCCATACTAACTGTGTAGCTAAGGATAACTTTGAACTTGTGATGCTCCTTCCTTTATCTCCTGGGTCCTGGAATTACAGCTCCCATTCTTGTGCAGGAGCAGAGATGAGAATGAGGCTTTGTGAGTGCTGGGCACGTAAGGGAGCCCCAGCCCCAGCACGGGGAGTTACAGTTTGAGTACTGTGGCTGGAGAGAGATGCCTCAGGGCTTCAGACCATGTCCTTGCAAAGGACTCAGGTTTACTTTCCAACATCAACACAACAACTCACAGCTGTTTACAACTCAGGTTCCAGAAGGGCCAATGCCTTCTGGGTTTTATGGGTGGATACTAGGCACATACGTGGTGAAAGACATACATACTTGTAAAATACTCATACACGTTAAAAGTAAATTTAAAAACAAAGCAGAATCTTACGATTATTTCCTTATTAAGGCTATTATAAAAGCAATTATTTATTTACTTATTTTTTGAAGCAGGGTCTCTCTATGTAATTCTATCTGTTCTAGAGCTTGCCTTGTAGACCAGGCTGGCCTCGAACTCACAAAGATCCTCTTGCCTCTAGGATTAAAAGTGTGTGCCACTATGCCAGGCCCTCATTGACTTTTTTGAGCAGGGTTCTCACTGTGTATGTTCCGACTATGTATGTATCACTATGTGAGTTCCGACTGGGTTGGAACTCACTGTGAGGACATGGCTCACACTCAAAGATCTTTTGTTTTTTTGTTTGTTTGTTTTATTTTTTATTTTCAAGACAGGGTTTCTCTGTATAGCCTTGGCTGTCCTGGAACTCACTCTGTAGACCAGGCTGGTCTCGAACTCAGAAATCCACCTGCCTCTGCCTCCCAAGTGCTGGGATTAAAGGCGTGCGCCATCACCGCCCAGCTCACACTCAAAGATCTTAACTCACACCCATTAGTGCTGGATTTAAAAAGTCTACCAGCACACCCATAGAAGCATTGTAAAAAAATTTTATCGGGATGGTTTTAACACAGAAATGCTCAGAATAGCCGGGTGGTGGTGGCACACACCTTTAATCCCAACACTCAGAGGAGGCTGAGGCATTTGGATCTCTAAATTCAAGTCCAGCCTGGTATACAGAGTAAGTTCAAGGACAGCCGGGGCAACACAGAGAAATCCTGACTCGGAAGGAAAGAAGGAAGGAGGGAGGGAGAGAGGGAGGGAGGGAGGGAGGGAGGGAGGCTCAGAATAATGTATTGCAAGAAGATGGAAGGAGAACCTGCTGCCTCAGCGATTTACTTATAGTCGGGTCTGCTTCCCTCCGTTGGCACTGCCCTACACTTTAACAAAGTTCCCAGACTCTGTTTCTGTCCGTCAGAATTTCCATGTGTGGCCAAGCCGCTGCTGCTGTCTCTGTTCATATCTGCTGTCACTTACTGCCAAACAGCTGTCTTGGCTGCTTCAGAGCAGCAGGACTGACTGCTTGAGTCTCTGCCCCTCTCTTTAGGACAATAATGGTGTGATTGGGTTGTTGGAGCCCATGAAGAAGAGCATGGTACCTGTTCAAGTGCAGCTGGATGCACCCGTGGTAAAGGTAGCCTCAGGTGAGTGTTAGGCACACTGGGCAGGAGCTAGCATAATTCAGCCTTGGGCCCTAAGACAAGCCCTTCCTGTGTTCGCTCTCCTCAGGGAATGACCATTTGGTGATGCTTACAGCTGATGGAGACCTCTACACTTTGGGTTGTGGGGAGCAAGGTCAACTGGGCCGTGTACCTGAGTTATTTGCCAACCGAGGTGGCCGTCAGGGCCTTGGTAAGTGGCTTTAGCACCTCCAGTGGGAGGATTTGGTAAGCCATCCCCTAGTGGAGGTGAAAGGCATGTGGGATTCAGTGCTGGCTTATATCCAGTGTACCTCCAGTGATGGTTAAAAACCCCAAGCCTTAAGCTGGCCATGGTGTTGTACACATTTAAGCTCAGCACTCACCAGGCAGTGGTGGCACACGCCTTTAATCCCAGCACTTGGGAGGCAGAGGCAGGTGGATTTCTGAGTTCGAGGCCAGCCTGGTCTACAGAGTGAGTTCCAGGACAGCCAGGGCTATACAGAAAAACCCTGTCTCGAAAGAAACCAAAAAAAAGAAAAAAGAAAAAGATAAGCTCAGCACTCAGGAGGCAGAGAGAGAGGCGTGTGGATCTCTTGAGTTTGAGGCCAGCCTGGTGTATGTACTGAGTTCTAGACCAGCCTATAAATACTCTCAAGGGGCTGGAGCTCCAACTTTAGGGGCTGATTCCCTTATCTCTAGCTCCCCTCACACCCCGCCCCTAACTGGTTACTGTGAAGAGAGAAATGTCTTGATCAGAAAAATGTCTGGCACAGGGTAAGTCACCCTTAAGCGTCTCTTTTCGAGACTTAAATTTTTGAGCGGGGTGTTTGAACAGGAGGCCATTCAGGGGCGACCCTGCTTAGCCTTCTTCGGAAAATACTTTGTGTCTGTCACTGACCCTGGCTTCCTCTATACTTACAGAGCGACTCCTTGTCCCCAGATGTGTGCTGCTGAAATCCAGGGGAACCCGGGGCCATGTGAGGTTCCAGGATGCCTTCTGTGGTGCCTATTTCACTTTCGCCATCTCCCGTGAAGGCCATGTATATGGCTTTGGCCTCTCCAACTATCACCAGCTGGGTGAGTCCTCGGGCATGGCTCAGCCCTTGATTCCAGTCATGCATGGCTCTAGTATTCATTCTTCGCTTCTGCTTTGTGGGATAGCCTGGCCCCTCGGAGCTATGTAGTGTAAGGTGGCATTTCTGGGGATGGGTGGAGCTGGCCTTGCTGCGGGGGCAGTGAGAAGGGAAGCTTCTGGAACACCTTCACCCTTGACAACAGGAACTCCAGGCACTGGATCTTGCTTCATTCCTCAAAACTTGACATCCTTCAAGAATTCCACCAAGTCCTGGGTGGGCTTCTCTGGTGGCCAGCATCATACAGTCTGCATGGATTCAGAAGGTAGGACTCTCCAGTATTCTACATCTCAGAGACAGTAGCCCCTGAGACAACCACATTACTAGGATCATGGTTTGGGCTAGACATAGATTTGCATCCATGAAGGCTGTCCTGGTGCTTCAGATTATGAACACACAGGGAGTTGTGTAGAGCATCTTCTATCCTACCTGGTATGCATTCATCTTACTTGGAATATGCCCCCTGCTGATACTCTTTTCTCTCCTTTGTCCAACAGGAAAAGCATACAGCCTAGGCCGGGCTGAGTATGGACGGCTGGGTCTTGGGGAGGGTGCTGAGGAGAAAAGCATACCTACCCTCATTTCCCGGCTGCCGGTGGTCTCCTCAGTGGCCTGTGGAGCTTCTGTGGGGTATGCTGTGTCCAAGGATGGTAAGTGGGGCTCTTCAGACCTAGTCGAGTTTTGGAAAGTGGGAGTCATGGTACTTAGCAAATTGCCTGGCCTGTTGTATCTCTGTGGAGTCAGATGCAGTGTTAGAGATGACACAGCTTTCTCATTGACTCTCAGAAGCTCTGGCATGTTTTTGTTTTTTGAGACAAGGTCTCACCATGTAGACCAGGCTAGCCTGGAATTCATAGAGGTTCACCAGACCCTGCCTCTGCCTTCTTAGTGCAGGGATCAGGGGTCTGCTTCATCATGCTGGGCTCAAGGTTTTTTGTTTTTTTGTTTTTTAATTTATATATTGTTTTGCCTACATGTATGTCTTTTTACTGCTTATATACTTGGTGCCTACAGAGGCCAGAAGAGGGCATCAGCTCCCCCGGGACTGGAATTGAATGATGGTTGTGAGCTGCCATGTGGGTCCTGGCCAGTCCGGCAGAAGAGGGTATGGACACATAGCAGCCAAAGCCTGAGAAAGATGCATAACCAGGAAACCTTCAGAATTCAGGCTGGCAAAGGTGTTTGTGCTTATCTGAGAGGACTTCCTCATGAAGTGGGGTTTGCACTGCACCATGGAGGTTCAGTCCTTTGTGAAAACCGGGGGATGGGCCAGGTATCAGGGCACACACTTTTTTTTTTTTTTTTTTGGTCTTTTTTTTTTTTTTTTTTTTTTTTTTTCAGAGCTGAGGACCGAACCCAGGGCCTTGCGCTTGCTAGGCAAGCGCTCTACCACTGAGCTAAATCCCCAACCCCAGGGCACACACTTTTAATCTCAGTACTCAGGAGACAGAGTTGTGAGTTTGAAGCCAGCCTTACCTACATAGTGAGTTCTGAGCCAGCCAGGGCTACATAGTGAGACCTTACTAAAACAAAACAAAAAAGCTACCAGAGGGTGGCATATCAAACTCAAGAGCATCCTGAACAGAATAAAAAGTCACTGGTTCCAAGGACAGGGATTTAGGATGTAGCCCCTCCGTATGTGTCTGGGGATAAGGAGAATGCAAAGGAGGGCATAATCTCCCCTGCTCTTCAAATCAATCTTCCTTCAACTCTTGGACTGGCACCTTGCCAGACTGCTATTGGTCAAGGCCAAAATTCACCACCATGGCCCAGGCATCTCCTGATGTGGAAAGGCAGGACTGAGGACCACAAAGACAGCTGTCTCTATTTCTGTCCCTTGCAGGTCGTGTTTTTGCTTGGGGCATGGGCACCAACTACCAGCTGGGCACTGGGCAGGATGAAGATGCCTGGAGCCCTGTGGAAATGACTGGCAAACAACTGGAGAACCGTGTGGTGTTAACTGTGTCCAGTGGGGGCCAGCACACAGTCTTACTAGTTAAGGACAAGGCACAAAGCTGATGAAGTCTTTGTGGGCCTGGCTTCTGGCCCCAACCCAGCTTCACAGAACAGGAAAACAGCCAGCTACAGATTCCAGAAGGCCCCTCCCCAACCCTGAGCAGATATCATCTCCTGTCTTTTCCCATCACCACAGCAGAATCCTTTTTCTTCTGTTTCGTCCTCTTTCTAGAATCATCCTGGTACTTGTAGGATGTGGGAGGATGGGAGGAGAATCTCAGAAGGATCTTTGCTTACCAGAGGCTTACTTTGTTGGACCTTTCCTCCCTTCCAACCCCTGCCCCTGTGGTCCTAGCTGGTGCTGGCTCATCACCTTCAAAACTCAAAACGGTAGCTGCAGCTCCGGGGTTTTGGTGCCCACACTCTGAAAAGTTGGGATTTCATGAGGTCCTGCTTCCTGTGAGCCTCTCTTTCTGTTCCTAACAGTAGTTTATGAGGACACAGATGGTTTGTATAGTCATCAGATTCAGTTGTCAAGGACCCATGCCTGGAGAGATCTGGACAAAGGCTTTACAAGGCAATGGGTGACCTAAGCCAAATATTCAGCTCTAAAACAGGTGTCCATGGGCAAAAACACTGACCCACTTGAAAAAGACCAACTGTCCTCCCAAAAGCACAAAGCACCCCAGTGTCCCTTGGGTGTCACCTGTCTGTTCCCCATCAGTCAGCCTTTCTGCCAGAGGACTGGATAGCCATGCTGGGCTTGGCTGGGAGGTCAAGGCGGGGAGGTTGGGGAGAATGTTTTATAACAGTGCTCAGGGAGGAGTGGAGGGAAAGGTGTGGAGGGGCAGAGGCTGGTCCTAAGAAAAGTAACAGTGGCTGAGAAAATAGTTTTGATTTTTTTAATTGTATCATATTTTGGAGGGGAGAGTAAACTCTTGTAACACTTTGAATAAACTTAAGAGTTTTATACAATGGGCTTTGTTTTTATGTGTGTCCCCTGGAGCTGTTTTGTTGTCTTTAAAGGAGCACCTGCCTGTGAGCCTGTCTACATTAGGTTATGGCTGATAGAGTCATTCCAAAGTCTGGTGAAGACAGGTGTTTGGGGTAGATGTGCAGTAGGAAGCACTGCAGTTTCTTCATGGTCATGATGCATAAGAGATGGGGTAGTTTGTTGCTTGGTTTGTTTTGTTAAATGGGCTCTCAGTGTAGCCCAAGCTGACAACCTGGTCTTCCTGCCTCAGCCTGTTGAGTGCTGAGATTACAGGCCTGGCTTTGGGAAGGAATTTTTAAATCCTAAATCAGGGGGTCTTGTTGTTTTTGTCAGGATCTTACTGAGTGCCCCTGGCTGGTCTAGAACTCACAAAAATCTAGCTGCATCGGCTTCCTCCGTTTTTTTTTTTTTTTTTAAGATTTATTTATTTATTTTATTTATGAGTACACTGTCGCTGTCTTCGGACACACCAGAATAGGGCATCCAATCTCATTACGGATGGTTGTGAGCCACCATGTGGTTGCTGGGATTTGAACTCAGGACCTCTGGAAGAGCAGTCAGTGCTCTTAACCGCTGAGCCATCTCTCCAGCCCGCTTCCTCAGTTTTTGTCTGTTTTGTTTTTGTTGTTTTGTTTTTGATTAGTCATATAACTACCACTCCTGACCCAAATTCTAGTTTTTAAGTATAGCACATTACTAAAAGTTCTTACTGATTTGCCAGCATTTTCAACTGCTGGTGTATTTAAAACTTTTCTTTGGGTGTTGTGTGAGAAGCGTCCTGGGGAGATGCTATACACAAGTCTATTCACCTCCGGTAGGGAGCCGAAAACACATGAAAATTCCACCAAATTCCACTTGGTGAACCAGTGAGCTTTATTGGGATTACTTATTGGGGCAGAAGTGACACAACTCCATCATCAAAGCCCACCCTAGCATGGGTGACAGCTCACTCATGGGTGAAAGCTTAGGAGTTAGAGTTCCCTTTCCAAGTGACCCAGGTCTAAAACAGGCAGCTCAGCTGCTTTCTGCTTCCAGGTCTTTACAGCCTCAGTCTTTGCCCCTCAGCCTCTTGGGCTGAGAGGGACTCTGCTTTTATTGTTCACTCTGAGGGAGGGGCCAGACTGGTCAGTTTCAGAGGTTTATTTTCAGTTGTAGCCTTCCCTGCAGGAGTAATAGCTCTGATTTGATTAAGAGCACTAGTTGCACTTGAAGAGGACCCAGGTTCAATTCCCTGCACCCAAATGGTGCTACACAACCATCTAACTACAATCCAATGGGATCCAAAGCGTTCTATAGCCTCTGAAAATCTTTGTGTATGTGTGTGTGTCAGGTTCAGTGCAATGCACTTTTATGTATCTTACTGAGCCATCTCACCAGCCTCTTAGCACTATTCATACAGTTAACAGAAAGGAACATGAAATTAATGGTCTCTGGTTTTCAGATTTGAGTTCTTGGTTTGGGGAACTTTCTATAGCTTGGAGTTGAAGGACTGTTGTTAGAACCAGTCTGAAGGCACAGGAGCTTCCCACTTTCTACTACCAACTGGATGAAGTCTGGGATATGAGTAGGTCTGTGCTCTGTGGAAAAGCCTTGATGTTGTGGAATAGAATAAGTGGAAGAAGCCAGGACTGGGGTCTTGCACTTGTAAAACTTGCACTTAGGAGGCTGAAGTAGGAGGATTGCCAAGAGTTTGCAGCCAGCCTGGGTTACATAGCTTGTACCAGGGAGCAACCAGAGACCTTGCCTCAAGGCAAAAAAAAAAAAAAAAAAAGTGTGGTGCTGGAGACAAGGCCCAGCCTGCCGTTAAGGTGAAGGAATGCTAGAAGGAATGCCTTGAGAAGACTGGAGTTCATCAAACAAACAGGCAGGCAGAAGCAAATAGATCTCTGACTAGAGACAGACTTAAACAGGCCAACAAGACTACATAGAGACCATGCCGACGCGGACGCCTACGCTTCCCACCCTCAACTACACACAAAACGACGGATGCTAGGACTTTGATTTTATTATCGAGAACCTTTAGTCCTTTCCGCCCTTTCCGCCTTAGGGCTTAGGAAAGTGAAGAATCCCACTACATCTTCCAAAAAGCCCGCGCTGGGATGCAGGGCAAGACGACAGCTGAGCGGCCGCGGCTCCTCCATAGTCCCACGGAAGCTTTTCCTCCGTGCTCCCAGTGGGATTCCGTCACTAACTGTCCTTCCGTGCTTATGCTTGGAATTCCCTTCAGAGAGCAAACCTTACGTCTCTAATTATAGAAGCATTTACACGGTTTTTTTAAAGAGCGGGGCAGTCTACCCCACACAGACTTTCTTCAGAGCCAGTGTCAGCTAGGTTTCCTGCGACGGAGTCAAAGCCACGCCCCTACCCCTGTGGAAGCCACGCCCCCCGGGAGCCGGAAGCTGCTGACAAGTCGGAAGAAAGCCGGGACCGGCGCATCTGGCCGCCCGGGCAGCGTGTGCGCCGGAGGTGCCGCAGGCGCAGACTCCCGGCGGGCTCGGCTGCGCAGACTGGCGCGGTTACGCGCCACAGGCCCGCACGGTTCCCGCCCGGGTGCGGGATGGCGGCCAGCCTATGGATGGGAGACGTGAGTCAGGGCCGCCCCTGCTCTGAGGAGGACAAGAGGGTCTCCAGCCGTAGGGGAAGGAAGGGCCTGAGGGCGAAGGGCCTTCGGATTCCAGGAGGGAGGCGGTGAACTGGAAGGGTTTGGGTGACAGAGGAAAGCCAGGCGGAGTGTGGTGGCCCATGCCTTAATCCCTGCACTTGGCGAGGCACAGGCCGGAGGACCGCCACAAGTTCGAGACTCCATAGTGAGTTCTAGGCCAGCCTGGGCTTCGTAGCGAGTCCTGCTCTCCCGGGCTTTGAAAGGGGAGTCTGAGCATCAGAAGATTCCTCGGATGCTGGATCTATGGTTAGAGGTTCTGAGAACCCCCTTTCCAGTTTGGAAAAGAAAAAGAGATTTGGGGGGATGAAGTGGGAGGAACCCCAAGGATTGAGGAGTCCTGTGTTTCTAGGACCAGAAGCACAGGGAGTTCTATAAAGGAAAACTTTTTTCTTTTGTTGTTTTTGTTAATTTTGAGATGGGGTCTCTCACATAGTTCTGTCTGTCCTGGAACTCATTCTGTAGACCTGAACTCACGGAGATCTACCCGCCACTGCCTCCCTAGTGCTAGGATTAAGGGCGTGTGACCACGCCTCCCAGCGAGGGGAGCTATTTGAAGTAATGGAGTTGGTTGGAACCATGCCCCCTCTGTGGTAGGAAGCTTGTCTCTATAGTGCCATGGAGAGTGTCCTGGACAGAGTGGGGGGGGCTCAACCCCTTATGGGGCTTCTGGACGTGGACCTGAGCCTGTCTGCTCTGGTTTTTATGCAGCTGGAACCCTACATGGATGAGAGCTTCATCTCTCGAGCCTTTGCCACAATGGGGGAGACCGTGATGAGCGTCAAAATTATCCGAAACCGCCTCACTGGGTACACCTCCCTTTTCATCTTTCTGGTTCTCGCTAGATAGAGCCTGCTGCTGCTGCTGTCATTCAAGGGAATAAACATGGCGGGAGGAAGGGCTTCTCACCATTCCTAGTGATCACACCGTATTATAAAAAAGAAACATAGAGGGTGACTTACTGAGCGGGAGCGCTGAGTATTTCGGGTGTCAGGATCCCAGTGATTCAGGGCAGGATTCGGGAACCTGTTTTGAAAACTGTTGTGTGATCTTTCGTGAGTTACCGTGTGTTTCATTTCATCCTTATTTTATTTTGCTTTACTTTGAAACAAAGTCTTCCTGTAGTACCATAGGCTGACGTCAAACATATGACAACCCGGCCTCTGCCTCCCAGCAATCCTGGCTCTCTCTCTCTCTCTCTCTCTCTCTCTTTTTTTTTTTTTTTTTTTTAGATTTATTTTTACAGCCGGGCGTTGGTGGCGCATGCCTTTAATCCCAGCACTTGGGAGGCAGAGGCAGGTGGATTTCTGAGTTCGAGACCAGCCTGGTCTACAGAGTGAGTTCCAGGACAGCCAGGGCTACACAGAGAAACCCTGTCTCGAAAAACAAAAAACAAAAAACAAAAAAAAATTACTTTTGATTACATTTAATTATGTTGGGGAGCAGGGTATGCAAGAGTGCAGGTGCCCGTGAAGGCCAGAGGTGTCAAATTCTGTGCCAAGCTCATCTGTTGTTCCTGGATATTAAACAGGCCTCTTGGAAGAGCAGTACAAAACTCATAACTGCTCAACCATATCTCTGCCTGAACCATATCTCCTTTATAGAGTCTTGAGTATGTCCAATCTCACACACACACATTCTCTCCCCCCTTTTTTTTTTCCAATAAATTAGGAGCATTCAGAAGTACAAGGGTGGGGGAGAACAGTGAGGTGACCCAGCAGGTACAAGCACTTACCTCATAAGCCTTTTGACCTGAGTTAGAAAACCTGGACCCATGATACATTGCATAGAATTCTCAAATAATTGCTGGGTTGTAGTGCATGTGTGCCTTTAACTTAACCCAGCTTTGGGAGACCACAGCAAGCCAGAGCTAACAATGGTGAGACCCTGTCTCAAAAAAGCAAAGATTTCTCAAATAATTGATACAGATATTAAAGAATTTTAAGAAGATCTGGACATGGTAGGACATGCCTCTAATCTCAGCACTCTGGAGGCAGAAGTTGAGGTAGGTAGATCTCTGTGAGTTCAAGGCTGGCACAGTGTACATATTAAGTTCTAGGACAGCTAGGACTCCATAGTGAGAACCTGTCTCAAACAAAATGTAAAAGACATGGTCTCATTTTATAGCATAGACTGACCTTAAATTCACTATGCATCTGAGACTGGCATTGAACTGGAGGCAAGTCCTGTAGCCTCAGCTTCTACACTTCAGAATCTAAAGTGTTCTGATTCCAGGCAGGTGCCGTCATCATGAGCTCCTGACTTTGAACATACAAAAGCCCACCCATGACACCCCCTGCCCCTTAAACTGAACAAAGAATC